GAGACAAAAGATGCTCAGTTCTTTGCCTTTCCTTGGCTTATTCACGATCAGATCTGTCTAGATAATTGTTCCTATTCCCCCCAAAGCCATTCACATTCCAGTTAAAGCAGCTCACCCTGTGAAACTGTTCTGATAAGAGAAGAAAAAAAGCTACCTGGGGTTTGAGCTGGAATTTGGCTTCCTAATTCGGTGGGATGGGTGGCAATGATAAGAAAAAGTATAAATGCCTCATCTTTGAGATATTCAGAGACCTTTTCATTTAATTGTTTGAACACCATTGATGCTGTGTAGAAAGAAACTCAATTGCTCTTGGAAATTGGAGGGTAAGCAGTAAATAATTGCAGGTCTGAAGAATGAGAAAAGGGGAGAACTGGGAAGGGTGAGCTCAGAAAACACCTCCTTAGAACTCAGAAAACACCTCCTTAGAACTCAGAAAACACCTCCTTAGAGGCAAAAAGAAGGTGGATGTTCAGTCCATCACAACATTCCACAGTAACACTATTCATCCTCCTGGATTTGTGGAGGAACTGGCTTCCCTCCTCTAAAATGAACATCTTTTTCTCTCCTTCCAAAATCCCAACGTCCCTCTTGAGGCCACGAGCGCCAATTCCGTGTGATCCTGCAAAGCCAGTGCATGTCCTGAATGAAACCTGGCTGATCCAATAAAAATTCCCACCGTGTGGCTGCAGACACAAAGCCTCTGCTCCCCCCCAAGGCCACGTCAGCCCGTTCCTGGGGTGCCCAGAGGTGGAAATGGAGCCATGTGTGAGGTGTCCCCCAAAGGCCATGAACATGGGGTTGTGGTTCCCCGGGTGCTGACTCTGTGAAACCCCTGCAGCTGCTGGGAATGAAGCATGAAATGAAGCCCCTGGCCATTCCACAGAGAGGAAACACACAGTGCAGGATCATTTATTACACTGATAAAGACTGGGGGCCAGGCAAAGAGAGCAGCCACCAGCACCTGAAAGTCTCTCCCACTTCCCATTTTCACTCAGTGCATTATCCCCTTCTGAACCAATTCAAAGAACCTCTAAGGAAAAACCCATTTCCAGCAGCCAGCTCCTCCTCATAAATACATCGGGGTCTAATTCCCATCAATCCATTGTGACTGACTCATTTTACATCAGAATGAAAGTGCAGAAATAATTTCAATCAGAATAATGGTAGTATGTAACATTTAACCAGGCACATAAACAGTACCTTGGTTTAGAACAGGTTAAAATGTTACTTGAAGCTTTTCTTCAGCTTTTCAAACCCATAATGTAATTCATGCCCAGGGAACAACCACAGGATCAAACCCCAAATGTGATCCCTGCCCCTTGGTCTGTTATTTCTCATTAACTCTCAGTAGAAGGGCTTGAATTTGGGCTGACAATAACAAGCCAAACTCTCTCTTTCATGCAGGAATTTCCTCTCCTGTGCTTGTTATTAATAGGTTCTGCAGCCCTGCATCCATGCAGAAATGATGGAGAATTGTGCTTAGAATTCTGCCCAGCCTGTACTTGGTGATAAAAATTAAGTTAACTCATATACATAAACGAGCTTTAAAAAAAACCTGCTGCATCCTCAGCACTTGAATTCCCTGGAGAATTCCCTGTGAGGGAGGTTGTGATGCTTCATCCAAGTAACTGCTGTATCTCTAAGATAAAACAAACCTGCCTGACATTTTAAAATAGAATTAAAACACATATAGTAAGCAGAGGGTCATGAGTGAGCCCACATTTGGTTGTTAGAAGAAATTTATTATCTGGGCCCAAGTAAATGGAACAAAACCAGGACTCAGTGGTCTGATTTAGAAATATTGTTATTGCTGTCACTGAAAACATCATTAACTTCAGAATATTTGCATGAGTAAATTGAAAAAAAAATTTAATCCAGCAAAAAAAATTAGTATCTGCTTTTTATTTTTATCTCTGCTGCCCAATTATTATTTGTGGGTTTATTTAGACACAAGGTCCCTGGAGATTTTGTGAGGATATATGGAGATTATTTGATAACCTTCATGGTATTTAATTCTCAGAAGAGAAGATGATTCCCCCAGCAATGACAGCATAACAAGAAACTTGTAATGTGTTTTTCTTCTGCACAAGTCAGCACCTTGGTCTTTGTTCCTGGTGTGAGAATGAGGAGGAACAGACTGAATGGCAAAAACTCAGTGCCAGGGAAGAATTATAGAATCATAGAATCATAGAATAGATTGGGTTGGAAAAGACCTCCAAGATCATCAAGTCCAACCCCTGATCCAACTCCAATTACTATATCATGGCACTAAGGGCCACGTCCAATCTCTTTTTAAAAACCTCCAGGGATGGTGAATCCACCACCTCTCTGGGTAGGGCCGTTCCAATGCCTGATAACCCTCTCTGTAAGGAATTTCTTCCTAACATCTAACCTAAACCTCCCCTGGCAGAGCTTGAGCCCATGTCCCCTTGTCCTATTGTTGGTTGCCTGGGAGAAGAGACCAACCCCCACCTGGCTATAACCTCCCTTCAGGTAGTTGAAGAGAGTGATGAGGTCGCCTCTAAGCCTTCTCTTCTCCAGACTGAACAACCCCAGCTCTCTCAGCCTCTCCTCATAGGACTTGTGCTCCAGTCCCTTCACCAGCCTCGTTGCTCTTCTTTGGACCCGCTCCAGCACCTCAATGTCCTTCCTGAACTGAGGGGCCCAGAGCTGAACACAATACTCCAGGTGTGGCCTCACCAGTGCAGAGTACAGGGGAAGGATCACTTCCCTGCTCCTGCTGGCCACACTGTTCTTGATGCAGGCCAGGATGCCATTGGCCTTCTTGGCCACCTGAGCACACTGCTGGCTCACGTTCAGCCTCCTGTCGATCAGCACCCCCAGGTCCCTCTCTGCCTGGCTGCTCTCCAGCCACTCTGTCCCAGCCTATAGCGCTGCAGGGGGTTGTTGTGGCCAAAGTGCAGGACCCGGCACTTGGCCTTGTTGAACTTCATTCCATTGGAGTCAGCCCATCTCTCCAGTCTATCCAGATCCCTCTGCAGAGCCCTCCTGCCTTCCGGCAGGTCGACACTCCCTCCCAATTTGGTGTCATCAGCAAATTTGCTGATGATGGACTCAATCCCCTCATCTAAATCATCGATAAAGATGTTAAAAAGGACTGGGCCCGGCACTGACCCCTGGGGAACACCACTGGTGACCGGTCGCCAATTGGATGCAGCCCCATTCACCAGCACTCTCTGGGCCCGGCCCTTGAGCCAGTTCCTGACCCAGCACAGAGTGCCCCTGTCCAAGCCATGGGCTGCCAGCTTTTCCAGGAGTATGCTATGGGAGACAGTGTCAAAGGCTTTGCTGAAGTCCAGATAGACCACATCCACAGCCTTTCCCTCATCCACCAGGCGGGTCACCTGATCGTAAAAGGAGATCAGGTTGGTCAAACAGGATCTGCCCTTCCTAAACCCATGTTGGCTGGGTCTGATCCCTTGTCCATCCTGTAGCTGCTGTGTGATTTCACACAGGATGATCTGCTCCATAACTTTGCCAGCCACCGAGGTCAGGCTGACAGGCCTGGAGTTACCAGGGTCAGCCTTGCAGCCTTTTTTATGGATTGGGGTGATATTTGCCAACTTCCAGTCATATGGGACCTCCCCAGTGAGCCAGGATTGTTGGAAGATGATGGAGAGTGGCTTGGTAAGCTCTTCTGCCAGCTCCCTCATTACCCTAGGATGGATCCCATCTGGTCCCATAGACTTGTGAGGATCCAGATGACTCAGTAAGTCACTAACAATTTCCTCCTGGAATACAAGGGGGCTATTTGGTTTCCTATCTCTGTCTACCAGCTCCAGAGGCCGGTTGCCTTGAGGGCCACCTGTCCTACTGGTAAAAACTGAGGCAAAGTAAGTGTTAAGTACCTCAGCCTTCTCCTCATCTCTATTAACTATGTTTCCCTCCAAGTCCCTCAAAGAATGAAGGTTTGCCTGTTGCTTTCTTTCACATTCAGATATTTTAGAGGTGATTTGATAACAGGGAAAAGAGATTTGTGGAGCCTGAAAGGGAAAGTTTGGGTTGCTCCAGACCTGGCCAAGCCCAGTTTGCCCCAGTACAAACCTACCCCACCCTGGGCAAGGAGAAAAGTCTCAGTTTGTCAGCAGTAAAAAGCAGACAAGCAGCACTTCCACCCCTTATGGGGTGACAAGGAGGGGAGAGTGTTTATTAATCATGACTAATTTACTAAATTATTCATTTGTATGGCAAGAGGAAGAGCAGGTGAATCACTCAGGGTGAGTGCAAACCCACGAGTCTGAGCCAAGGGAGCAGAACATCAACCAGGAACCCTCCCAAAGTTTCTTAGCACAGTTGTCTTTTCATCCCAGTAGGTTTGGGGGTCCTGCATTTCCCATAAATAAAGGCCTCTGGCAATGATTTCATGTGAGGGTCTGTGTTCTGGACAGAGATGTCAGGCACTGGGGTAACTCAACTTCAAACACCTCCCGTCAGCAAAAGTCGAGAAAAAACCTTTGAAAAGCATTGAAGTAAGAAAAGAGCTAAGAAAAGACATTGGAAGCTCCTTCCAGAGGATCCCACTGTTATTTCCATTAATATTTCTTCTCCAAATTGAGAGTAGCACCAAAGGGGAACCTCACCTATAGCTCCTGTGTATGTGCATAAGCTTAATAATGAGAGATGTCACTGCTCACAGAACCTTGCAGTGCCACTTGCAGCCACCAAATCCTCCAAAACAGCACTTTGCCTATGAACAAACCTCTACAGCTCTCAAAAAGGGTGAGAAATTATGGCAAAACAAATTCATTTTCATGAAGCCACCTCCTATCCCAGCTGGAGTTAGAAAATCCAGTGCTAGTTAAGAATCTGAAAGCCTTCTCTGTAAATTTGTAACAGGCACTGAACCACATTCAAACCACAATTTTGTTGAAAATTACAATTATTGTGATTCTTGGAAATTATTGTGATTCTTTCATCAAGGGGGGAAAAACCCAGGAAATCCCCCTTTACTGCTGCAAGTTTCAAATGTTACACTTCATTTTCAAACTGGAGAAGCCACGTGCTTTCCCTCCTCTTTGTTTTTTGGTTTTTTTTACCAGGTGAAAACCTCAATTCCACTTCTCCTTTTTCTTGTGCTGCCCTGGAGAGAGGAAACATCTGAACTGAGCTGGTCCTTTGAGTCTCTGGAAAAACCTTGTCAGAGGAAGGAGAGCAAACAAATCTTCATCAGAGGGTATTAACAAGCATCAATAATATTTAATATCCCAGCTAAACCTGCTGCCATAAAGTGACTGCTACAGGTGGACCTACATATCTTAGTATTTTCCTCTCTTTTTGCCTATTCAGAACAGAATTCCTTAGCTAATAAGTTACTTCTTGCAGCAGTGAAGGAGCTTATTTGAATGTAATTCTACATTCTCAGACCTAAAATAAACAGCTCTACCTTATAAAAATTCCTGCAACCCTGTGACTAAAATACAACAATAACACTGAATTATTGGACAAATGTATCTTTGTTGCCAGACAAAGAGTTAAAAGCCTGGATTTGGCTGTTCTGTGTGGATTCCATGCCCTTCCTGAATAGGATTATCTGGGATTGCCCACACTGGGAATTATTCTGTGTAAATACCCCAAGTGCATTTGCTACCTCGTGGTTGTATTTGACATCTGCACATTCCCCCCACCCAGCCTGGATAAATCTGCCTTTGTACTTCAGGAATTTCCAGCTCAAACCATTCTGAGGTTATAAAATGTCAGCTATCATGTCAATCCGTTGTTCACTTTTATTTTTAAAAACAGAGTTGAAAAAAACCAACAACAACAACAACAAAAGTAACAAAATACATTCAACATTTTATTTTTTTTTCTTAGATTATGTAAGAACCAAAAAATTTGGAAGCTACACCAAGTTTTGGCAGGAAGTTTTCACTTCTCTCTAAGGTGGGTTATTTTATTGCAGATCTTCTTGTCTTACAGCAGATCTTTCATTAAATGCAATAACATTTCTCATACCCTGAAAGATTTCCTGTAAATTTTGGAGACGTGGGGGAAAAGAAAGCAAAAAAGGGGTCCCAAGACAGAAGAATTCTCAGTCTGTGCTGCAGGAGTTACTGCAAGGGCTGCACAGAGAAAAACTGCTCCTCAGAGATGCTGAACAACAGGATTATGGTAGAAAATAAAATGAACCAAGGACTCTTACTGATCAAACCATTCATTGGAGTGGAAGCATTAGGAGATTACTTTCAGTTTCTGGAAATTACTGCCAATAAACAAATATCCAAACTGTGACTCCGGAGCCGTCACGAAGCTGTTCACACTTTTTTTTTATGCATCAAGGCAAGAGAGGGAAATAAATTTTTTAGAAAAAGGATAAAAAAGGGTTGAAATATTACCCCCTGGTCCTTGAAGAAATTTCGAGCCACAGGACACTCTGGCTGCCATGAATAAAGGAGGAGACAAGGTCTAAAACAAGGTTCCAAAACCAGGAGGAAGAGAAAGTGGGAAAGCAGAGATTTATAAGTTTCATCCCAATAGCAAGAGGGCCCCTGTTTGCCAAGGTTAGCTGACACAAGCACAAAAATGTAATAGCTGTAAATTTGTCTCCAACAAGATCTATTGGCACTTGGAGATGATGAAAACTGTTTTATCATCTGACTTTTAAAATATATACACAGAGCAGGACGTGCTATTAACTGAGAAAATAATACTGGTTCTGAAATGGGAAGAGGATGCACAAACCTGGTGTGGATTAAACAGAAATAAAATGACTGTGTGGTACCCAGTTCCTAAAGAACTTTTACAAGGTATGCATGAAGAATTCAGACCATCCTATTCATGTAAATAATCCCACATAAATCAACATTAAAAAGAAAAGGCAAGTTACTTCACCAAACCTGAATTCTACTGAAAGCACAAACCCACTGTATGAACAAAGAAATTCCTACTGAAATCTCTCTTCTCAGGGCAAAATGTGGCATGAAAGAGGATGGCAGACAAGCTTCCATCAATTCAAATAATTTCTTTAATTGAGCAGAATTATTATTCTTTAACTCAGGAGTTCAACTTGATGATCCTTGTGGATCTCTTCCAACTGAGGATATTCTACGATTCTGATTAAATAAATGCAAGCAAGTCATAGTTTTGAAGAGCTAAAAGCTTCTTGTAGAGGTTTGTTCAAGCAGCATTAGATGAGTCTCACTCTATGCATGACCACATCCTATTTACTTGATATTTTAAAGCCCCTTAAGAGGACACTGCTCTTTTTCTAGTTCTGAAAGTGGTCCCTGCAAGAATAACTTTTAATGTAGAGTGCTGCAAAAAATCCTGAAAGTGAGAAATTGCTCTCATTTATTATAGGTTACCATGAGGTTTCGAATGGGGAGCAAAATAATCCCATCCTAAGGTTTGAAAAAGCTGGATTTGGAAGCAGTGGCCCCACCTGGAGAAGGTGATATCCCAGAGAAGTGACGAACTTGAATATTGCTCCAAGAATTTAAAAACTGCAAATCACCCTCCTAGAACCCTGCTAGAAAAGAAACAGTCTTAAAAACTTTATTTCTCTAGTGTGAAAAAAGCAGATCAACCTCAGCTTGAGAATTTACCCAGACTGTGAACCAGAGGCCACGTTCTCAGTGCCAGCAGTGATCAGCCCAGGAACAAATGACAGCAAGGGTTTCTTTGAAACATTCCTGACCAAATAATCCTTTAAATAAAGCTGGAAAAGTTGGTTTTATAACCATGTTGGAAATACAAATGCAGACATGAGTGGCACCCTGGGACTTCTGCAGTGAAAATCTCAGCATAGAGGGAATATAAAACAAGGACAAGTTTTATTAATGCACCTCCCTAACCTCAAAAAACCCCAACAACAACCCATAGCTTTCACTATAATCACTGTCCTGTGCACAAGCAATGGTTTCAGAACCTCTGTGTGTGTTAGAGGAGCTGAGGTGAGGTAGCACCTCCCAAATCCATGTGGAGCTGGGGAGCAGTGCTGTGTCCTTTGGCACATGAATTGTGGGAAGAGGCACTGCAGGAACAGGTTCCCCTGCTATATTTCTCCCAATATCTCCATCTCAGGACAAATCTATAAATGCCACTGAATCTGTGCTCTCTCTGCCTCAGCTCTGAACCATTTCCTCTGGATTGCTCTCCACAGAATCTGTGCTGGGAACTCGGTGCTCTTCACGTGGGCCACGGCAAACTAAGAGGAGTTCTAAAAACCAGACCATTGACAGAGCACTGGGTGCCTTCAGTCCATAAGAACTGCCTTCAATCCAGAAGAATTGCCTTCAATCCATAAGAACTTCCTTCAATCCATAAGAATTGCCTTCAGTCCATAAGAATTGCCTTCAATCCCACAAGAGCCCTCTCCTCTCTGCCTCCTCCTCTCTATATCCAGTTTTATATATAAACTGCAATGAATTATTGGAGATGTGCTGGAGGCACAGCAGAGCTCCCCTGCCCATTAAAAGGGACACAGCAACACAGCCTACGGGAGGAGTGAGCAGAGGTCAGAGGTATTTGGAGAACTGAAACGTTGTCCCAAGGGCAGCTTCCCTGAAAATGGCATTATTTTGTTACCAATACACCTACTACTGACACAGAAGTAAAGGAGAATGGTGTGGGAACAAGGAAGCCTGAGGGAGGAGGTTTTCTCTCCTTTTGGGATCGCCCCAGATCAGACCCCAAGGGCAGCACTTGGCTCTGCACGAGCTCAGAGCATGATCCTGACACATCCCTGGGACAGGGGCAGCTCCTTCACTGAGGACACACGGAAAAAGCAGCTGGATTTTCCCAGCAGCTTTAGCGTGGGCAATTCTACACAGAATGAGGTCTCTCAATAGCAGAGGGAAGGGCTTGAACACCCAAATTACAGGAGAGACCAAGACTCGGAACTAAATCCCGATGAGCAGCGAGCAGGAATCTGACCCAACACAAGGGCTGCCAACCACCTCCCTTGTCAGGGTTTCCATGGCACATTCCAGCTCACCAAGGACCATCCAGGAAATCCCAGCCCTCTCTCCAGAAAGGAAGCTTTAATCCTGACTCCTTGGCATTTAGAAAGTTCTTCCTCACACTCCCTGTCCGCCCCCTCCCCCAGGACTGTTGTGCTCTGGATAAATCCTTGAGCCTTACCTTGGTCAAGGACCCACATGGGACATTTTTAATATTCCTCTAAATATTTAATATTTCTCCAAATATTCCCTGTTTAAGGAAGGTCTAATCTCAGCTTTGAGCTTGGATTCACTGTCCAGTCTAGGACACATCACTTAAATTCTCTGTCTCAATTCCAGTGAGGGGATGAGGGTGACAACACTGATCACTGCCTAAAGCTCAGTCCCAAGTCTTATTGTCACTTTAAACATCCAGCACTTGGGGAATTAAATGAGCCCTGGGTAGAGACAAACCACCAAGTGCTTTGTTGCCCTACAAAACATTCACCAAATGAAATGATTTCTCTGCTAAGTCAGGATAAAACTACAAAATCTCAATTTTCCTCTAAGTTTAGTTAAATAAAAGAAGGAGAAATTTCACCCAGGTTACTTATTCATTGGGTTATAGAATTGGTTTAAAAAAGGAAAGAAAGAAATAGGCCCTTCACAGGCAGATTCATCCCACTCTAATGCAGGTCAGATAAATTGCTTTGTATCTTAGAATAAAAGGAGCCATAAGAACACTCAAAGAACAGGACCTTAAACTTGCCTACTCATATTGACAGAGATTAATTTCATTCTAACTGGAAATCCATACAAACTTTATTTTGAATGAACCTTTGATCGTCAATTAATTTTTTCCAAGTCCTTAATTTCACTTTGAGATATCAGTATTCCCCCAGAACAATTCCTGACCAGCTTTAATGATGAAGCCTAAATTGCAGATCTGTTTTCTTTTCAGTCATGTTTCTTCTACAGTATAAAACAAATTTCCAATTTCAAACAGATCCTGTTGGAGGCAGCATCTCAAAACCACAGTGGGCTCAAGCTATGGCAAAAATCAAAGAAAAAGCCACAAAACCAACAAATATCTCACATTTATCTGCCCATTCTGGTGTGCAGCTTAACATGTTCTACTGGCAGAGCATTTTTACCCTAATGAATAATTTGGGGCATTAAAACAAATCCCACAATCAGCTCAGAAGTTCTGTGTGACCCTGTATTTCCTCCTTTAAAAGGAGCTGGAATTGCTGCTAA